TGCGACCGGGCGTCGGCGGCGCAGACCTCTTGGCCTTCTCTCACAGGTCGGTGCGCTCGCGCTCGGCGTTCCCCGCCCGACTGCCGTGCAGTCCATGGCTAGACGCGCCGGACAGGACTGGCGGCGGGACCCGCGCTGCCTGAGAAAGGGACAGACCACCAACACGTGTGTTTGCTCCGCTAACCCTCTTGAAGCTGTTCAGAAGCCGCTTGCCGCGGGGTCCACTGGGCGGGGCGGGGGTTGGGACCCAGCGGGAGCCGGGACAGCCTGGCTCCGCGGCCTGTACTCGGTTTACACCGCGGGCCGGCGCGGAAGGAGGCCGCGTTTCCTTCGCTGTCAGTCCGGTCGCTTCGGGCACCTCCGGGCCCCGGCGGCTGGCTAATGTTTTGTTTAAAAGATCGGTGGAGCTTTTTAAGAGAATATTTAAAAAAAAAAAAAAAAAAAAAAGTAAGGAGAAAAAACATTCACCGGGCAACCGGGGAAGTATTGTGGCCTTGGAGCTTGCTAAATCCAAACATGAAAGTCAAAAGCTTTAGTATTCCTCATCTTCTCTTCTGGAAGATTTGCGTGAGAGTTCCTGTCGGGCCTTCAAAAAGCTGTGTTCAGAGGTAGGAGAATATATCCACTAAATATGGTTTCGTCTACCAATTGGGGAAGTTTCACCCTCTCCCTATCTGAAGAAAAAAATCAGAAACAAATGTCCCCGGATCTTCCGATGCAAGTCCTGGATGCAGGGAGATCACTGCCTGCCTGGCCCACGCTGCAGGGACGGCTCGTCCTCCCTGCTTTTTGTTTTTCAAACGTCCTGCTTCTCCCACCTTGGGAAGGAGAAATGTGAAACCCGGCAGCGGCCGACCTAGGTGGTCTTGTGGCCCGGAGCCGGCCCGGCCTGAAAACCATAGACCTGGTTGTACTGTAACTTGTTTGGGGGACCAAATTTTCTAGAGAGAACTAGAGCACTTTTGTTGTGTTTTTGTTTTTGTTTTGTTTTGTTTTTGTTTTTTGCCTTGTCGATTCCCGAATAAATTTTTTGTTCTTTCTTTTAACACGGACTTCTTTATTTCCGTCGCGCGTAAGTTCAGCAGCTAGTTCAAAGAGGGAGATTTTCAGCACAATTTTCTTTTTTTCAGAATGAGCTAAACAAAGATTGAGAGCAACCGGGGTGGCAGGCGTTTGTGGCTGTCGCTGCTGCTTTGTTTTCCTGGGGATTGTTTGTTTTCTGTGTCATCACTGGCCCGTTGCGGCTGTTTAACGTCAGCAGAAAGTTCGTTCACAAGGCGCGACTGTAGGTAGGACTCGGTTTATTTTTGTACCCATTCAAGTTTGTATTCTACCTCATATACAGTTGTACTAGGTATATGGGCTGGCTGTGTTTTTATTATTGTTCTCAAACTTTTCGATTTTGAGTCAACTATAACAGCCAAGAGTTTGTTCCGAATATTAATAGATAAAATTCTGGTTGTGGAAATGCGCTGCAAGCTGCTAACCTCTGTACAAATGTGAGGAGTGACTGATTTGTTATTTTTAATAGTCAGAATTCATTTACCTTGAGATATGGGTCGGAGATTTGGAGGTTTCACTAAGGATTGAACATACTTCGTGGCTGCAGAAATTTAGTCTTTTTTCTTTCTCTCTCTTCCTTTACTGAGATCTTCAAATAACGAATTAAGATCCGTGCTTCCGCGCAGGCACAAAAGCGTTTGACCTGGTTGCAGTCTGGTTCTCCCAGGCGGATTAGGGGGTGATGGGCCTTCACTCTTCTGATGGGATAGATGACTTCCGACTTCTGATAGGATAGATCCGCTGGCTCTTGCGGGCTGCTGCTCAGCTGAGACTAGACCCCGCACCCAGCGGTGTGTCCCTCACTGCCCCGGTCTATCTCGGGGCCTGGCCAGCAGAGTGGCGGCAGGTCCAGGCCGGCTGGTGGGCCAGGAGCGGTCTTGCACCACGAGAATGAGCCTGCAGGCCTCTCACTTCAGCCCTCCAGTGGTCAGGCGGTAGGAACCTCAGGGTGGTATCCCCGTTATGTGTAGTTGGGCCCAAGTGGCTTCTGCTCAGAATGCCCCCCGCACCCCACAGGCATCCTGCCAGAGACTACAAGGCAGGAGACTAAGCCATGGGGATTCTCAGGGGGCATCACCTCAAGACTGAGACTGGAGCCTACCAGGAACCGGCAGGAGCAGGATGGAGAGGGAGGCTCAGCTGGAGCAGGAAGCCCTAGAGGCTGGTCAGGGCTGGTGTCTGGGTGCCTTTGGTGCCCAGCTGCTCCATTATCTGGCTGAGGGGAGTTGCAGAACAGAAAGCAGCCTGCTATGTGCGTGTCTGTTTGTGCTTTGTCTAATGTGAAAATGTAGCCCATGGGCAATTAATTGTGTAGTCTGTATCTGCTGCAAATGTGTGTGTACAGTGTCAGTTGTGCATTGGTGACAGGGTGGGAGGTGTGTGTGTCTGTCATTCGCCTACAGAGTGGGCATTTATTTTCGGCATTGTAATAATCATATGGCTAACACTTAGGAAGTGCTTACTGGGACCACAGTGTGTGTGGCATTCATACCTCACTGGTGATGTGTGCATTTGTGGGTGTGTATTCCTGGCTTGCTGAAAAATAAAATAATATGGACAGAGCCTTTGCTTCATCAGGCAGAGGCTCCCTGTTTTGAGGCTGGCTGTGAGCACGCTCCCAGCTGCTGTCTGAAGCAGAGAAAGCAGGGGAGGGAAGTCTCCAGGGCCAAGACCCAGTGCGCAGGTAGCAGCCCACCTCCAGTGAGACAGAGAAGTTGTCTGGGGCCAGCAATGGAGGACCAGCCTGTCTGCTCTCTGAGAACTGAAAGGCAAAAGGCACCCAAGGCTGGGAAGAGAGCAGCAGCCTCAGCAAGTAAGGAAGACGAAATGAAGGAATCAGTGAGGGTTTCCTGGGTCTACACAGGGATTGAAGGAGGTGAGAGAAGGGAGCCACATCATACCCCACTTCACCATGAATGCCCACAGGAAAAATCTGTCTAACTCCAGCCCTCGGGATTTCTCCAAAGCTCTTAAGTTTGGTCATTTTCCTCTGTGCCGAAAGTTTAGTTCAATGGCAGGCTGTCTTTGTCTCTCATTTCCTTTCTCTTCTCTCCCTCTTTGCACTTTTGAATTTCTATTATAGAAGCTGATTTAAGCAATTCCTGAGGGCAAAAGTATTTAAGAGAGTTGTATAGCAATTATGCCTTAGTATATGCAGTCTGGTCTAGACAGCTGGGCCATGCGGATGTATGTATATATGTTGGCCAGTGTGTAAATACAATGTAAATAGAGTTTAATACAAATACCTGGCCAGTTCCTGAATGTCCTGCCTAATGAGTTGTTCTTGCATGAAGATTATGTGTGTGGTTGGTGTAAACATCCTCACACACTGCCGACAGTATGAGCCCCCTCCTCACATTTACACAGAAATTCTTAGAGTCACCTCCACCTCACTAAAATTGCCCAGTCAGAGTAAGTGGGTTGGTTGGGAGAAAGCGGGGGGAGGTGTCCTATTCTCAAGAGGGACCTGGAGAAATCTTTGCCATTGAAGTACATGCACCAAGGGACTGTGGGAAGGGGACCTACAGAGTTCTGGAGATGGTCCTGTACCCTACTACAGAGGGTATTGACGGCCTCTTTTCTGCTTGCATCAGTAAATAGTTCGCAGCTCCACATCTGAGTCTTAGATGAGCAAGAGGCCCTGGACCTTTCATCCGAGATTAGGTGCATCCAGCCTTCGCCAGGGTTTCCTGGAAGCCAAGGCTGGAGATGGAGCTGCAAGGAACCCCTGGTGGAGGGTGGAAATTGGGGCCAGACCCAGGCTTTATGCAGTCCGACAAGCAGAATATGGGCCAGGAATCTGAGTCTGGCCCAAAACAGTTTGCTCTCAACTGAGCTCTTCCCTTTATGAAGGCCTGGGCCAGGCTTCATGGACAGAATCGCCAGACCAGACTCCTGGCCTCTGTGGGTGGGGGGTCTAAGGCCAGGAAACATCTTGATCAGACTCAGGACCCCTGCAGTGTCCCCATTCTGCAGATCTAACCTGGTGGTGACCCTGGGGCCCTGCCCATCAGGCCTGCCACCACTGTGTGGCAGTCCCTGCTCCTTGGAGTAGACTGTGGGACCCTTAGAATATGGGAAAGGATGGGACTAGGAACCCCATACCTTAGGGACAACCAGGAATTAAGGATTCTTAAAACCAAGCAGTCTTAGCAACTTTCCACTTTCTGGAGAGAGGGCTCCCAGTTGTCATAAAAAGAGTGTCTTGCGTGTAGGAACCCAGAATTACATTTGAGGAATCTCAGGTCCTAAGAAGAGAAGAGACCAACCAGAGGTCATCCAGCTATCTGTGGGGCAAATGGTCTCCGAAATTTTAAAAGGAGACTTGACAGCAGCTGAGCCTAGCTGCCACTGATGCTCAAGGGAGCTGTGTAGTAAAGGAGAGCCTCCCAGGAGTAAGAAGGGAGAGCCTCCCAGGAAAAGAAGGAGGCACAGTCTGAGCTGTGGGCAGACTGTGCCACAGAAACTGCTGCTGTGCAGGCTGTTTGCCGCACAGGCTTGGTGCTGAGCTGTAAAAAGCTTGTTCTGGGATCTTGTCACTTCGGGGAGGTGGCCTGTGCAGAATAGGGCAAAGACCTGGCCTGTTCAGCCAGGAAGAACTGGAATGGAACCTGATGTCCTCTTTAATAACTATGTAATCTTGGGCAAAATACACATTCAAATTTCAGTGTTCTCCTCTATAAAACAGAAATTCTTATGTGTGTGTATCAGAATTATTAAAATAAATTTTCTGATTTTTAAGTGCCCAGTTTATAGTAGACGCTCAGTAATGTTTTTCCCTTCCCCTACATAAAAAAAGGAAGGAAGCAAAGAAGGAAGGAAGAAAGGAAGGGGAAAAAAACTTTTAGTGATAACTTTCTAGGATTGGACTTCCTAACCCACCCTGCGAGCATCTTCCGGGGCCAGGCGTACGTGATTGCATCCACCCTGCCTTAGCCCCTTGTCCGTAGTAGTGAGGCGCACGCGGTTACCGTCACAGCTAACACCCAAGCCCTGAAGGCACACACGGTGGGCTCTGAGACCTCGTCCGGCGCTCCTCCAACCGCCCTCTCGCTTCCCCCAAAGCGGTCTTCACACATTTAGGAGGTTTACTCTGAGAAAGGCCGTGCTGACCCGAGAAGCGGCACCGACCCAGGGGCTTGGGGCCAGCCACAGCCCCACTCACAGGCTCTCCGGCTGGCGCCTGCAGTCCTCACGCGCCTCCCTCGACTGGTTGATTTTTCTTTTTTTTTTTTTTTCTTTTTCTTTTTTTTCCTTTTCTTTTTCAGAAAAACAGAAGGCAGCCACCGGGCCAGAGGTTGCAGGGTCAGCCTGTGGGCG